CCTTATATATACGATCTTATTCTAGCCTCTCAACAGCCCTGTGAAGTAGGTACAGTTATAATCCCCATTTCACAGTAGAGAAAAGGAAGGCAAAGAGAGGTTAGGTGACTTGTCGAAGATTAGCGCAATAAGTGCCAGAGCTGGCACTGTAACCTAGTATCTGGCTCATGTCACATGATCAGTCATTACACTGTGATCTCTGATAGTGCTATGATGTTGGTACATTTTAAGAGAAGAGATAGCATGAACACCTTTATGCTCATATTTGAGTCATCCTTTTTTTAAAATTTAATCTTAGTTTTAAATCAAAATATTTTCACTGCTGAGCAAAACTCTCAAAATCAGCACCCACTGAGCGCTGTTAATGAGATAGCAATACATCGCAGTTTTTAAAGCACACGCTTCACATAGTCCCTATTATAAAATTACAAGACCAAGGTCATGCATCTAGTACTCATACATAGATGTGTGTTTCTGGAAAGGCAGCAAGTAGTAGATCTTCAATGTTCTTCATAAATCAAGAGTTAATCTTGAGAACCTCCAGTGACCTATGTAAGAAACATGTTAGTCATAGGTAACTTACCCAACTTCATGCAGATAGAATGATAAGATGATCAGGCAGTGGTAGGTCTTTAGTCCAAGAAATGCAGGTTTACATCTTAAGGCTAATATTTACTAGCTCTTGTGACCTTGGGCAAGTAATTGACTCCTCAGTTCCCTCATCTGTAGAATGAGGATAATAATATTTCCAAACTCATGCCATGTGAAGACTAAGATGCACATAAAACAGCGCAGTGCCTGACACACACAGCCAACACTCAGCATCTGTGAACTGCTATTATCGTTATGGTTAATGACCCTCAATGTAATTGTCATTGAGTTTAGCACCCAGGGCCACATTAGTACTCCAGGCATGAAAAGCAAGGTTCCATTACTTTTAAATGCAATTTAATCTTACCGCAAATATAAGAAGATGAAGAGTTATGACTTGGTAAGTACAACCTCCCTGATTGTCATATACACCAACATACGGAACAAATGAAGGAAAATACCTAAATGCTTCTCCTCACCACCATCAGGCCAACACCCCAAATCTGAGTTCTCTTACTAACTGAAAGAATTCTATTGTCTTTGGTACTCTTTAAGGAGCAGGGGTTGGATTTTTGTAGTTTTTTTATGACACTTGCAGATGCACAATGTTCAGAAGCTACCACTTTTTCAGTGTTTTTTTTTTAATTTTTTTAAAATGTTTTATTTATTTCTAGGAGAGAGAGAGAGAGAGACAGCGTGAGCAGGGGAGGGTCAGAGAGAGAGGGAGTCACAGACTGAAACAGGCTCCAGGCTCTGAGCTGGCAGTCAGCACAGAGCCCGACGCGGGGCTCGAACCCACGAACCGCGAGATCATGACCCGAGCGAAAGTCGGACGCTTAACCAACTAAGCCACCCGGGCACCCCTTTCAGTGTTTCTTTTAGCACCAAACAGGGTGCCGGGAAAAAATGGCTTAGCGTTAGAGAAAATGTATGTTCCTTTTACCCTGAGGGAAGTCCAGCTGATCGTGTACAACTCCTGGGACTTATTGGACCAAAAAATAACTTTTCTTCCAGTTGGCATCAGTGGAGTAGGCTACAATGAACATTTGGGGCCAAAGGGAACTTTCTGAATGTGTAAATATGTAGCTTCCTATATTCCTTTCAAATTAATTTAAAGTGGGAGTACCTGGGTGGTTCAGTTGGTTAAGCATCCAACTTCGGATCAGGTCATGATCTAGCGGCTCTTGAGTTTGAGCCCCACATCAAGCTCTGTGCTGACAGCTTGGAGCCTGGAGCCTGGATCCTGCTTCTGATTCTGTGTCTCTCTCTGCCCCTTCCCTGCTCATTCTCTCTCTCTCTCTCTCAAAAATAAGTAAACATGAAAAACATTTTAAGTGAACTAAAAGATCTATATAATAATATTAACATTGTATAGACCCTTTGTTCAAACCACCTTAAATTACATATGTGTAGAGATTAAATGGAGAGTATAAATTTAATAACCATGAGGAATAATATAGCTGTGGTATTTGAACATAAAAGTTGGTTGTGAGTTTCCTGGGGCCACGCAAACAGGCTGCTCACTCCTCCTCAGCAGTGTCCCAAAGTGGCAGCCAAAGACAGATTCCCCCCAGAAGGGAGCCATTTACTCTGGGTAGAGTGCGCCACCTTGTGAGCTGGAGAAGATGTGCAATTTCCTGAATGACAGCCTGCCCGCAGCCCAAGCTATAACTTGGGCCCCAGACCCCAGAGGGCACCATGTCCAATGTATTTGGAGGTGTGAGATGTGGAAGTACTTTTGTATTGGCTCCCAGGGCCAGCTCTAGGCTGCACAGGGAAATGACTGTTGAGTATTTACTGGAAACATCAAGTGCTGCAAGCCCAACATAGAAAATCACAAACTGCCACTAACTACTCCAAGTGGATTTTAAGCAAGTCACCTAATTTCTCTGGGCCTCATGTGCAAATGGGAAAGTTCAGCCAGGTGATCTGCAGGGTCCCATCCAGCTTTGAGAGGAACTGTCACCTCTCTGGCCTTCTCACTGCCCCTGGGTTTCTGATCTTATTTGTTCATTACCTTAGAGCACGCAAAGCCTTTCACAAGTGGGCCATTTGCCTACTGTTCTTTTTTTTTCCTTTTTAAAAAGTTTTTAAAATTTATTTTTGAGAGAGAGAGAGAGAGGAGAGGAGAGGCAGAGAGAGAGAGAGAGAGAAAGAGAAAGAAAGAGAATCCGAAGCAGGCTCCAGGTTCTGAGATGTCAGCACAGAACCCCACGTGGGGTTCAAACCCACAAACCACAAGATCATGACCTGAACCAAAGTCAGATGCTTAACCAACTGAGCCACTCAGGTGCTCCCACTTGCCTACTGTTCTTTGCCTACCACCATGTTCATTCATTCATTCAATTATTCTTTCAAGAAATATTTATTACGTATTCCTCACCATGTCCCCCTGTCCACGCTATCCCAAGTGCATGGGACTGCTTGCTGTTCCCCTAACATGCCAGGCTTCTTTTTGTGCCTCTGTGTTTGCTTATACTTTTCCTTGTGCTATGAATGCCTTTCTCCCATTTTCCACTAGACCAACTCAGAGTCATCTCAGTGCAAATCTCCTTTTGAAATCTTCTGGATAGCTATCATCCTCTGTGGCTTCTTATCATTTCCTACCTTGATTATAGTATTTAGCACGTTGTTTTGAAATTACGTGTCCATGTATAACAAGGTAATAATACCTTGATACACTCAGAGGTGTGATTTTTTCCTCTGTAAATTCCTTCCTCTGCCTACTTCTCCTACCCTTTTTTATATGTACTTTTATATGTACTTTTTATACTACTACCCTCAGGATAGGGCAATTACTGCCATATTCACTGGACAAAGGATTTATTGCACAAATCTGAACACCAAAATGGACTTGTGAGATTCACAGCAAAATTATAAAGTTGATAGATGGGACAGAAAATCTTTTCTAGCTTTCAAGAGCTTGAACACTTAAAGTACAAATGTCAATATTTGTACCCTGAGCAAAAGATTTTGCAGCTGAGAAATGAAGAGCCAGCCTATCCAGCTACTCCATTCCTACTCTTGTATAGATTAGCAAAAAATTAGTTAAAAAATAGGTATCCGGCTTCTGACACCTGCCTGTCCTCAAGCCAAGTTTCAGGTGGGAGTGAGAACTTAGGCCTCACTTCCTCTCTGGGACCTGGAAAAGTAACAACAGTGCAGATGTATTCTAAGCCAATGGTAGCATTAAGGAGAAAATGTGCTGTGCCATGTTGAGGCAAGGGAGGGATGAGAGAACCTCTGAGTTTTCCCCAGAGTGGCATGAAACCAGAATCTGGAAGCTCCTGTGCCCCCCAAGAAGCATAAGATATTGATGAAGGACAACCAGTAACCCTAAAGGTCCCAGAAGTCAAAATGAGGACGCTGCAAAGGGATTGCATGGCTCCAATGACCAGGGGTTCCGTGGATGGCCAGTCCCAACACTGTGGCCCTTCCATACGCATTTCTTGTCTTTGCATCTCCAGTGGCTAGCACCGTGGCCATGAAATGTTTCCTTTGTAAAATAATGTAGCCAGAAAGATGGAGCAGTAGTTACCAAAGGAACTCAGTTCTATTAACACCATTTTCCTCAACTCTCCATGTAACCCTCAAGTACCCTTAATAATAAAATAACTCTCCAACTCATAGAAACAGAGAGTAGAACTGTAGTTGCCAGAAGCTGAGGGGTGGGGGCGGAGAAATGAGAAGATGTTGGACAAAGGGTACAAACTTATTTATAAGATGAATACATTCTGGGGAATTTAATGTATAGTGTGGTGACTATATTACCAGTACTGTATTGTATGCTTGCCATTTGCTGAGAGATCTTAAATGTTCTCCACAAACATACACACACAGAGGTAACTTATGTGAGGTGATGGATGTGTTGACTACCTTGCTGTGGTAATCCATTCTCTATATAGAGAGAAATAGACAAGTCATCATGCTACACACAATAAACTTATATAATTATTTGTCACCCATATTTCAATATCGCTGAAAAAAAAAAGTCCCCAACACACACACATAGACACACACACACTAATAATAACTCTAACAGTAGCCCTCTGATGAAAAACTGATAAGAAAATGTGGAAACAAATGACAAGTATATAGAATTTCAAAATCTTTAGGGCTACAGGCTCTGTGAGTATAAGTCAAGGCTGGAAACAAACACCCGAACTGTTTTGCAATCATTAATACTTTATTATATTAGTACTTGACATGTTCATTTTTCTCCTAAAATTTTATATAACCAATATATTATAAATATATAGACAGTTTCCTTACAAATATAAGTATCAGGCCAACGTCTGTGTTTAACAAATGCTTAATAAACATAGGTGCTAGATCCTTAGCCCCATCCTTCCCACCCCAGCCCACCCTGCACAGCCCCTCCCACACATTCTTACATTGTGGTTGTGTTGTCTACATTTTCATCCACATGGCACAGAGCCCCATTTTACCAACAGAGTTCCCGGGGAATGGCACCATGACACGTGACGGCATGGCTAGGAAGTAGTCATCGCGGCGCATAAACGAGCAGGCCACTGGTGCCTTCATTCTCCTCCGTCCGTTTTCAGGGGCTTGGGGCAGGGGAACAGCTATGGACTATGCTATGATTTGGAGGCGCCCCAGAAATGTAACACTAGATCTACTACAGAGCTTTGAGAATTCTGCGCAGGTCTTATCGAGAGGCCTATGAAGTGGAGAAAACCGGGGCCGCACAGGACTGGCTGCAGAGCGCTGGGTAAGGAACGGCGTCTCCCAGCTTCTTCAGCCCAACGCCGTTCAGGCGCTCACGTAGCGGACGATGGGGGTGACACAGGTGCAGCCCACGGTCACCCGCACCTTCTCCAGCCGGAAGGAGCGCGAGCAGCCTTGGGGCTCCCTCCGCAGGACCAGGAACTCCTGCTGGATGGGAACGGAATTCATGGAGCTGTCTTCCTGCCCCTCGGCGTTGATGCAGCCTGAGTGCCTGCACTGGGCCTCCACGATCTCCGAGGGGAACCGGTTCGGGTCCCGGGTGACGCTGCAGGAGGGGCGGACGGAGCAAGTGGTGAGACGAGGGAAAGGGAGACGGACATATGTGAGAGCCCAGGGCCGCTAGGTGCTCGCCTGCAGGGAGGCATTTCCCAGAGACCCAGGGCGGTGGCCAGATGGCCTGGGTTCATACACTGCCCTCCGGCAGCTGTTGTGACTGCCGAAGGCTGTTTCCTCCACTCTAAAATGGAAATTCTCACAGGTCTTTTCCATGGAATGGTTGAGAATATTCAGTGATACAACTGCACACAAAACGCTACACTGAAATATTGGCATTCAATAAATGTCAGATCTTTCATTTTTCATTGCAATGTTATAATTATTATTCATCCTTTGTCTAGATATGGAACATCGCTAGTAGGTCTCCTGATATACAGTCTACAAAGCCTGCTGCTTGGAAAGGAAAACCAAAGCCCCGGAGGTCTGTGAATGCACCACATGCTCTCAGTTTCTCCCTGAATACCCGTTCTGCCAGGGAACACAAAGGCAGCAAAGCCACGCCAGCCAACTTGCCACCAGACACGCTCCCTTCCTACAGGAAGCAATTTGGACAGCTCCAGAAGCCCTTCTAATTGCTCCTGGAATCTGTTTTCATACTTGTATTTGGAGCATAGATGAGGCCGTGGTATTCCAAGATCCAGCACATCAGACAGCAACCACAGGACGGTACCTTGAACATCCCATCCCCAAACTATGTCCCCTTCCCCAAACTGCGTCCCCTTCCCCAAACTGGCCTCTCTTGTCCACTCTGACCTCCTCACCATTCCTTGCAGGCTGATGTCTAATCTGAGTGGATCACTCCAAACTGACTTTTCTGGTTCCCACTTAGTCAGATTCAAAGATCATTATGTAGGCTGCTTTAAAGAGCCCCCTCTCTCAATATGGAAAGTTTGTAAACATCAACCTAGGGCTGCATGGAGCACCCAAAGGCAGAGAGTCAATAGAAAATTAGAAGCAAAACAGCAAGACCTCTGACCACACAGGAGGACCTAGCATGAACAGCAAACTGTGAGCTCCCAGGCAAAGTGGGATTTCTGTTTTTAAGGGCAAATACTAGGACTTTTTCCCCCTATATTTTCTAAATTCTCTACCTTATGATTAGAACAAATAAACATATTTTTCAAAAGAACATGAAGAGCAGTCTCATTTGCACTTACTTGTAATCCCAGGGGGAACTGGAGCGGTTCTGGAAATCATTTGCGACGGAAATACCCCCCTGGTTTTGCCTGAGGATGCGAATGTCGACCCTCACGCTGTTATCTTCCAGGGGAGGGCACAGGGCTGTATCCCCTGCTTTGGGGTTTTTCCGAGCTGCCACCTCCTTCAGGAGGGTGAGCCCCAACATCAACAGCAGCAGGGACTTAACCTGCAAAATAGAGAAAGTTGAGTGGGTTCGGAACGCTGGTGTCGCTTGCTCCCATGCTCTAGCTGAACTCAGCATGCCCAGCCTTTTAGGGGACCAGACTTCTCTCTGAACCTCAGATCCTCACCTGGAAATGGGAATAGTCATACATGAAGATATCAGGGTGCCAAACTGAGTATATACGCATTAGTCTGGTGATTGAGCCTCCAGCAGTCCGAGAGCTCCTCAGCAGTGGGGCAGAAAGGTTATCGGGATCTGGGACTGGGTTTAAATCTCATCACTGTATCTCTGGCTTCTCTTCTTTCCAAGTGGGTTATAACACTCCCTTCATAATAATATTCACAAGATTAAGTCTAATGTTCTAAATAAAGGATTAATAAATGATAGCTCTCATTTTTATTTCCAACCTTGTATTTCATGAATTCTCCACAAAATCCCTCTTCCCAGCCATCTCTCCACCTGGAATACACTGCTCCACCTCTATCTGTCCAAACCTTACTCTTCCATCAAGGTCCCACTTAGAGTTAGCCTTCTCCAGGAAGTCTCTAAAGTTACTCAATTAGATATGATTGTTCGTTTTTCCTTCAATCATAAAGCACTTGCCATCTAGCATTCAAGTGTCATTTCTTTATTGTCTGGAAATGTGCCCTCTGTGTTCATGTCAGATATACATCTATTGGATTGTAAGTTCCTGCAGGAGAATGTGTCCTAGAACAGGTATTCTACAAATATTTTCTGGATGAATGAAACAAACAAAACAATACAGTTAAATTAACAGTATATTTAAACTCAAAGCACTAAGAAAAACACTGTGCAAAACCAACCATAGTAAAGTTCCAATTATCCATGTTAATTGAAAGAAGCAGAGCCACTAATGATGCACAACAACAAAGAATATGGAAACTATTTGTCTTTAGCTCTGAAACATATATTTTTCCTACTTACATTGAAGTATCAGTTTATCAGGTATTACAGGAATACACAAAGAAAGTGCTGTGTGAAGACCTAATTAAAAGAAGAGCTAAAAATCTCTCCAGCTTCCTTTTGTCACAACCATGCTCTGCTCACCCTACAATCACCCCCGACCCTTACTGGATGGACAAGGCCCACTGCCAACTCTCAACATAATGCAGAACAAGAGCTAAAGCTGAGTTGCTTTCATTCTCTGGGCTCAATGTTGTTCAGACTCACATTTTCCATGGGTTAAGGTAGGGGAGGTGATTAGACATGTCCATTTAAAGGACCTTCTTTTTATATTTTACAGATGCTGGAGGCAAGAAATAACAAGAATAAACAGAAAGGTCATGGTGTCAACTTGCTGTATGAAGGCAGATGACACTAAAAAGAAGTTGAAAGCAAGATTGACCCAGATAAGTAGTAGTCTACTTTCATCTACTACAATCATTCACTCATTCAGCAACTCTTTCTCAACTCTATAGTGTGGGAACTCAAGATACATGCTCTGGGGTCAGATGTCCTGGGTCCATAACTCAGTTTCAGGACTCTGATTATCTGCGATTCAATTTTGTCCACCAGAAAATGTAAAGATCAAATGATATGACCCATATAAGGCATGAAAAGCACTGCCAGTATGTGATAAGTATTGAACACAGGTGGTTATTAAGTAGACATTGTGCTGATGACACACAATGAACAGGAAATATGTGGAATTTGCCCTCATTAATCTTCTGTTTACTGCTATGAAATAAACTTTAAAAAGTTAAAGGATACCCATGTAGACCAGAGAGTTCTTTGGTAACTTCCCAAGCCTACCAATTACTTTTTTAAGTTTTTTTTTTTCTTTTTTGAGAGAGAGAGAGAGAACACACTTGCAAGCCAGGGAGGGGTGGAGGGAGAGGAACAGAGAGATTCTTAAGCAGGCTTCATGCCCAGCAAAGAATCCAACTTGGGTTTTGATCTCACAACCGTGAAATCAAGTGTCAGACATTTAATTGACTGAGCTACCCAGGCACTCCTACTTCCTTAGGTTTCTTAAGAAAATTCCTCCTGTGTGTTTTCATCTTTTATCTTCAGTATCATATTCACTGAGTCACTTCTCGCTTTCATTATCAAAGCTTTAAAGTAACTGTATCTTATGGTTATATGATTCAGCAATAATTTCCATGCTTCTAACAAATCATTATATTTGCTTATGTTATTGGAATATTTTAGAATACACTTTCACATCTCTGAATACTGGATTCTCAAAACCATCTCACGAGGTAGGCAGAGCCAGTATTAATTATCCCAATGACACTGGTAAGAGTCATGCCTGAAAAAAAACAAACAGCTTGGTTGAGTTCACCAGCTTGTTGGTGTCAGTTAGGGGACTCAACCCTAGGTGTCAGTGGTCAGTACTATTGCTGTTAAAGTTCATCATTATCATCAATATAAAGCCACTCGTGGTGATCTAGCCTTAGCTTTGCCTCCCAAGAGGAACCAAACATTTTAAGCAATGTAAACAGCTGTGTCAGAATTGCATGAGCATTGTAGGTCACATAGGAAATCAGATAATGCCTGCAAATCACTCTAGTTTGCTCCTCAAAGCTTTTGATCTGAAACTGTAGATTTTAGTGGTTATGCACTACAGAGCAGGGGCTCTGATATGGCCCTTGCTGATTCTTAAGAAAATGACATATACAACACCTGTTCTCTGAGAGGTTCAGAGCGTGTCTTAGAGATTGAATTCTTATAGTCTACCTATGAGGCAGACATACAAATAGACACCACTCCTATTCTGTGCAGTAGGAACAGAGCAAGAGAAGGCACCAGTGAAGGTGGGCAGTATCAGAACACTGACAGCCGGACTCCACAGTGTGCTCACCTGAGACTGAGTATTTGTTTCCTTTTTTTTTTTTTTTCAATTTTTTAAAGTATGCTTGTTTCTGAGAGAAATAGAGAGACAGAGCACAAGCATTGGAGGGGCAGAGAGAGAGGGAGACACAATCCAAAGCAGGCTCTAGGCTCTGAGCTGTCAGCACAGAGCCCGATTCGGGGCTTAAACTCATAAACAGTGAGATCATGACCTGAGCCAAAGTCGAACACTTAACTGACTGAGCCACCCAGGTGCCTCTGAGTATTTGTCTCCTGAACTGATCTGTAATGTATACTCACCCCTGCGTAGGAATGTGCTCCAGAGCCTGGCAGTTCCTAAGCCCACAAGAATTTGCCTCAACTACTTACTGAGGATGCCCTACCTGTCTGTACCTCCCAGCTTCTAATCTTATTCTTTTTTTTTTTTTTAAGGTCTATTCATTTTTCAGAGACAGAAACAAAGTGTGAGTGGGGAGGGACAGAGAGAGAGGGAGACATAGAATCTGATACAGGCTCCAGGTTCCCAGCTGTCAGCACAGAGCCCGATGCAGAGCAGGAACTCACAGACCGCAAGATCATGACCTGATCTGAAGTCGGACGCTTAACTGACTGAGCCACCCAGGTGCCCCCTGATCCTATTCTAATGCTCCTTGCATCATCATGTTTCTTGCAAATGATCCAACAGATTACTCCAAACCAGAAATAGAAATGGCTTTGGAGCACAAAATTATCTGATAGATTTTTTTTAGACATAACGGCTTTGAATTTAGAAATCTTGCCTCTGAACCATTCAAGGAAAGGCATACTGTACTTGAAACCAGTAAACCTAGATTCATGTCCCAGTTCTTATGTGTACAGTACCCAATGATGTTAAATCACTAGACTTAGTTGAGCTTTTTTTTTTTTTTTTCATCTGTATAATGGGGAAACTAAACCCAATCTACTTCCCTGGGTTGACAAGAGTCTCAGAGATAAAAATAATAATATTTAACACATTGAATGCTTTCTCCATCCTTATGGTTGTTATATTAAAACGACCAATTTAACTAAAAACTAAGCCATTTCAGAGTAAAGATTTAGTTATTCTCTATGATACTAATTAATCCTCCCCCAAAAAACCTATGAGGGAGATGCCATTATTATTCCCCTTTACAGATAAGGGGAATAATTAGGCACAGAGCAGCTAAGTAATTGACCCCAAATCCTACATTTAGTAAATAGTGGCGCTAGGACTAATCCCAAAGCCTATGTGTTCCCTAATCGTTACACTTTGCTGCATTTCTGATCATCTCTAAAATACTTAAATATAGTATTATCATCACCATATGCTATGACCTTTTATGAAATCCAAGCTCTTTTCAATTACATGGCTTGTAAATGGAGAAAAAAAAAAAGAGGGATTATTTATGCCAATAATATGGTGAATAATTTCCCAAGCCCTGTTTTCAAGCTCCTCTAAATTATATTCTTCCCAGCCTTTACCTATCTAATGTCGGGCAAGATTCTAGAGCCAAAAGAGTTAGCCTTTCCATCATACTAACATCTCTCTTTCTCCTCCATGAGGAATGAGACAAGGCAAAAATAATCAGCTATCTGAGACAAGGCCAATGGGAGCTATCCAAAGTTCAACACAGGGTGGCTCCACTTCTTTCATCCTGGGCACTCTTTGTCTACTTGTAGTCTTAGGGGAACCATTAAACCTCTTGTAATCTCACTATCCTTGGCTAAAATACATGTGCACACATCCTAAAAGGCTGGAAGTCCTCACCATGAGATAAGAAAGAGTTTTAGACTAACCTAACTCTGTAATGGTGGTGGCCCCAGGAGTGATCATGTTCAGTTGTCTGTGACACCAAGAGTGAGCAAGCCAGCAATGACCTATGCAAAAGCTACCACATAAGAAGCTCTGTTTTACACCCCATTATAACTTCTGGTTATTTTTTTCTTTTTCTCCACCAGACCAGAATCAAAATTAAAGTCAGTTTAGCTTCTAAGAAAGGATACCAATAAAGATCCCAATCAAGCCCAATTCCTTAGAAATCTTCCATCCTGAAATCCCAGGGCTGTCTGCTACCAAACAGAAATTATTTTTACTCACCATGGCTATGTTGCGCAGGATGGTCTTTGTCATTTTGCTCTGGTTGCCTGCTTTGTGTAGTAAACTCTTCCTGTGTGTGTGTGTGTC